AAGGATGAAAATGTTGATTGTGTGACAACTAACGGTGGAATTGATATGGAATATAAGATATGAAACGGTGAAAACACAAATCTTAGTCTAGATTCGTTTGAAAGTACAAGTAATGGACATATCTCAAGAATTTTGTAAGCGGTGTGTTGAGCTTGCAACTTAAATGGGTTTAGTTTATCGATTATCGTGGTTCGAATGGGTCGCGACTCTTCAAAATCGATTTTGGTGATAGAATGACACCTGTAACTTAAACGACACTTGTGTGCCGTTATGTATATTTTTCCAATATTTTGCTACTTTTTAAGGTAAGGTTATCAAGGATTGGACCCCCCAACCTAAGAAGGATGAAAATGTTGATTATGTAACAACTAATGATGGAATTGATATAGAATATAAGGTCTGAGACGGTGAAAACACAAGTCTTAGTCTAAATTCGTTTGAAAGTACAAGTAATGGGCATATATCTCAAGAATTTTGTAAGCGGCGTGTTCAACCTGCGACTGAAATGAGTTTCGTTTATTGATTATCGTGGTTCGGAAAGGTCGGGCTCTTCAAAATCAATTTTAGTAGCAGAACGACATGTGTCGTTCTGATGGTCCAGTAACGACAGAAGTGTCGTGCTCGTCTAATTTCGTTTTGCAAACATAACGACAGTTTTGTCGTTCTTTTGCCTGTTCTCAAACCAGTAACGATTAAAGTGTCATTTTCTGCGCTATTGCGTCCATTTGAAATCTTTTCCTAATCACGTACGATACAAGTGTCTTTATCATTGAATTTTATTTACACGTAGTACAACAGTCATCCAATAAATGTTCTCATCCCATTGTCGGTACAAGTGTCTTTTTTTCATAGTAACGGCACAACATGTTTGGTCAAAATTCAATTCGAAGTTCAAGCATTGAGCACATCTCCCGAAGTTTGTAAGCGTCGCTTCCATCCTACAGAATGACACAAGTGTTTCCCGGTAGAACGGCACAAGTGCCGTTAAACAACACTTGTGTCGTTCTGTTGACTTCATCAATATTTTTCTACTAAACCAGCTGAACGACCTCACAAATTGGACCCTTTAACTTGGGAAGGCTGAAAATGATGATTAGGTGACGATTATCGTGGCTCGGAAGGATCGTGGCGCTTAATACACTTGTTCAGAGGCAGAACGACTCTTGTGCCGTTTTCTAAACAGTAACGGCAGTTGTATCGTTTTCGTCTTTCTTTTGGCTTAAGTAATGACCATATCTATTGAATGTTGTAAGAGGCGTGCCCATCCTGCAACCAAAACGAGTTGAACTTATCGA